TTATTATATTACTATTATTATATTATTATCTTAGTATATTATTATTTCTATTATTATATTATTTATTAATTATAGTTACTTTAATGCTTTAAATATTTTAAAGCTTTAAGCTTATAACACCAATTATCTAGTCTCTTAGTCACTTAGTTACTTAGTCACTTAGTCACTTAGTTGCTTAGTTTCTTAGTCATTTAGCTGCTTAACTTACAGATATATAAATTCTAAAATTCCTTCAAGTCAAAATAAGTTCTACAGTTAACAGTTCAAAGAAACAGACAATTCTTTTTTCTCTTTATTTTGTAAAGTATACCTTGAATCCTTTAGAACAGATGTCTAAGGATAACTTTTCATAGTATTATCTTAATAAATGATTTTAACTATAAACTACAAGGGGTGTGATGACTTAGTAAAATAGTTAAGTTGTCAACTCTCCAAGTGGTAGGTTAGAAGTTCAAAAAACACTAATGGCAAAAATTTGAAAAACTATCTATATTATATTAGTATTACAGAAGGTAAGTAGTATTATAGCAATAGTACTTCATCGATCAGTTGGGATCAGTATCTGTAACATGATTATATCAGATAACTGGCAAGTTATAGGTAGTGTTTTAAGTCATATAATTTGAATTGGCTGGCTAAGCCAGCTAATCAAAACATTGGCTGAATGGCTGACTAATGGCTAACTATCTTCATCATCTGATTGGCTAATATAAATCAATTGTCTGAGTAACTTATTTATAAGAATGCATTGCAAACTAATTGAAATAATTTTCTGAATATATTAGTTTTTTACTTTACTAGTAGTTAGCAGATTTAATTCCATTCCTGAGAAACTTTTACTAATGTCATATTTTTGCTAATAGCCTAATAATTAGGATTCGAGGCATAGAGTTTTTGGTATGCCAAAAGTGGCATGCTATGCTGGCATGACTATGACATGCCAATAGATCTAAAGGCATACCATGCTAGCATGCCTATGGCATGCCATTGAATTCAAAAGCATGCCATTAATTATAATATATAGATACCTACTTATATATACTTGGTAAACAATTATACTAATTATATTAAATATCAAATATATACTTTACATGTATTTTTTTAAATAGCAATCTCTACTTTTTATCAAAATAATGTAAAACTAATATGTAATAAATTATTTCTGGTTAAGTATATTACACATTAAAATCAAGAGAATTAACTTGACCAATAAATAATAAACTCATTTTATTGAATAGCTGACTTAATTAAATTTCAAAATTATCTAACTGAATGTCGTCATATACAAGTTTACAAAAATTTTAGATGTTCTTAAAACTATATACAAGGCAATTAAGATTTTCTAATAACAAGGCTAAGTAAACTTTTCAAATTAGAATCAATAAAAGTTATGTAAGAAGCATCATAAAACAGAATGTGATCACATAAATACAAAAGCAAAATGCTTTATAGTAGTTGTGATATAAATAATTATACTTAACCTAAACATAATTAACTTGTAAAAAATTTTGATATAAAATTATGCTTTAATAGTTTTTACAAGAACTAGACAATTATTTATTTCTTGTAATGCTACAAATATGCTTATTGTAACAATAAGCTTAATCCCAGAACCATGCCACATCTAGAATAATTGATAGAAATTTGTTTAGAAAAATAGAATTTTATTTTAATAAAGTGCTCAATTAAAGTTTAATATTCACAAATCTTTATAAATAAGTGGTGTGCTCTAATAATTAATCACTAATCACATATCATAATATAATCTAAAGCTTTAATAGCCCAAGTACTTAGATGAAGTCTTTCTACTTCTCCATATGTCTTGTTATCTATATTTATTTTAGAAGTTATTTAATCCAAATTATCTAAAAGATTCTATCACATCATTCATCTTTGATTTGCTTATTGTATATAAAACAAATATATTAATCTGAATTTGCTTACTAATATTATTCCTCTAGTATCATAACTATAGCCTTATTCAAGCCCTACATAAGCTATATATGATAAACAACATAGCCTTATACTACAAATCACTAATCCAAGATAACAAACAAATACTGTATTCATCCAAAATAATGCTCAGAAACATTATTTTGGGGCATACAATTTGAAGAGAGCTAATAATTAATTTAGCTAAAAAAAAAAAATTATTATTGTTCACATTTAGCTAAATTAATTATTGGTTCTTTTCGAATTGCATGGTCTAAATAATGCCTCAGAGGGTAAATAAAATTCTGCAATAGTGAATAATACATTTAAAAAGAATTAGATAGAATAATAAGTAAATTGAGAATTTTATTATTGTGTTGTATAAAGCCTTACAAAATACTGGGAAGATAAAAAAAATATATTTTTAGATTATATAATAAAACAAATGTATAAAAAGAACACTTATCTGAATAAATTGATAGTTTCAAATTAGCTTTATAATCAAGTAATTCTTTAAGTTAACTTACAAACCGAATATTTGTAATTCTTTGTGTCTCAATTTTAATATTTCTATTTAATTTTATAATAAAAATATTCACAATTAAGTGATTTTCTGTATATATAAATAGTTTTTATTCCTATTAAATAAATTAATAAGAAAAATGAATTAACTATATAACTTGACCAAGTTATGCTTTTGTGCACTTGTACTAACTATTCCTTCATTATATAAATTTCTATTTAAATGTAATATTAGTATTAGCCTTTAACATCATCATTTTCAAACAAATAATGCAACCACCTAAAAGCTTTGTTCTTCTAAACATGAATATTCATAATCTTTGTTGAACTGATTTCTGGCGCTCAGAAGAAAAAACTTTAGGTAACTGATATATTGCCAAATGTATGTACTGTGATGATGAACAATCCAAAAGACCTGAGAAGCTTCATAGCTATGTTCTTACTTGTGACAAGTGGCCTGCTGATAAGAAAAACAAATATATTATAAAAGATGCTTCTAATCTTCACAAGTGAATTAGAGCTATGCCTGTTAATATTCAGGTTGAAGGTTTTAATACTACTAATAGTAGCCTTTCTGTATTAAAACAAGAAAGTTTGACAAACTGGATTAAACCAATATCACAAAACCAACAAACAAAACTAGATAAAAAACTACTTAATGCTATTATTTATGGCAATCTTCCTTTTACTTTTGTTAATAATCTCTACTTTGCTGATTTTCTTAAAGATTTAGCTCCAAACTATCATTTGCCTTCTACATATACATTAAGTATGACAGTTCTTAACACAACATTTTCTACTCACTTGGCTAAAAAATTAGACACAATGGCAAATTTAAATGTTATTACTATTGCACTAGATGGATGGCAAGATATATCTAGTAACTCGATTTATGGGTTTATGGCTCTGAAGGAAAACCAAACATATGTACTTGATATTATTGATTTATCGACAAATCATCATACTGCTGATTTTCTTAAACAACAGTTTGAAAAAATTCTTCAATCCAATTTAGTTTCTATTAAATCATCCGTTATTGCATGTGTAACTGACAACCCTTTAGTAATAGTCAAAATGTGAGCTGATATTAAAAAAGACTATCCCAATATCATTCCAATTCAATGTTGTTTACACTTATTTAATTTACTAGCTAAAGTTATTGCTAGTTTTTGAAATATATTGCCTATTATTAAAAATAATCAAAAATTGGTTAATTATTTTATATCATTGCATATTTGGCTTCAGACTCTTAAAAATTGGCAAAATAAGGAAAAAATTAGTCATTTGCTTACCACATTTTGTGAAACTCATTGGTATTCCCTTGCCAAACTCTGTCTAGAGGTATTAGCTTATGAAAAGGCCTTTCAACATTGTATTGAACTTAGCAAAACTACAAATTATCCTCTTATTAAAACAGACCTTCAGAAAATTATTACTAGTTATTATTATTTTGCAAATAATAATATGCTTATAACAATACTTACTTCTGTAGTAAATGTGATTAGTTATCTTGAGTCCAGAAATGCTACATTAGCAGATATTTTTAAAGAATTTATTAATATTCATTATATTATTTCTATAACTAATATTTCCATTTATAGATTCAAAGACTATGCCTTAGCAGCTATTGGAAAAAGAGCCTATAAATTCTCTAATTATATCTATTTTGTCATATTATTTTTATTTTCAGCACATAAAAAAATAGTGATATCAAAAAAAATGTCTGAAGATTCCATTATTAAAGTAAGTTTAGAGCTTGCAAAAACTTGGAGTTTTGATAAACAAAATGCTATTGTGTTATATAAAGAATTGATTGATTATAAAAATAGAAACTATTTATTTAACAAAACAAAAAATTCTACTAACATTAATCCTAGAAAATTTTGGACAGAATTTACTAGTGGTTATTCTATTCTATGTCAATTCACTATAAAGATTTATTTCATTGTTCCTCATACAGCAGATGTTGAGCAGCTTTTTTCTGACTTAGGGCTTATCAAGACAAAATCAAAGAACAAAATGTTCTCTACCGTTATAGGAATCTTAGGAACACTTTGTAATGAACTAAAAAATTTATTATCTAAAGAACCTCAAGATAATTCTAAAAAACAACTGCTTTCTAACATTAATGATGATATTAATAATAATGTTGATATCTTTTGGAAAGAAGAAATAATTAATGATGAGAAATTTGAAGACTCAATAGAGGAAATTAACATAGATATAAATCATGGTTGGTTATTTTATATCCAAAGTTTTATTTCTATATTTTTTTAAGTTAGATTTTATTAACACAAAACAGTGTCTAAATTTGATTATAAATATATAAATTTTTACTTACAATCTATTTATATTATCACAGAACTCGTAATAAAAGAATTTTTCGATTTTACAATTTTTAAACATAATCAAGAAGCAGTAACAGAGGAGGAATTAACAATATACTCACAAGATACTAGTGTTTCTGATAATGAATAGTCTGTTAAGGATATTATCAATAATTAATATAATTTCTAATATAACAAGTAACCTAATACAAAAATACTTTTTTTAATATTTATATAATGTTTGTAAAGTATATGTATATAAATATACTACCTTTGTTTACTATAATTCACATTGTTACTATTTGTATTCTTTGATTCAATGATAATCTACTGATATGAAGAACTGTAATAGTATATTATAACAGATTTATTTTACAAGCTACAAACTAACTTTGTGATATAATTAAATATTCAAAGAGTTGGCAAATTGGCAACTAATCGATTTAATATGTATGTACGTACATATGTTGTGAAAGGGTAAATTACCTTCTTGAAATTACTACGGCTTCTGACATAATATGAATTCTGAAAATTCTAATTATTATATATAAGAATTCCAGAATTCCTAATATTATGATTGTTAAAATTCTCAAAATATATAGATATTATTATGTTAATTGCTATAATTATCTATATTCTTAATTAGAATAGTTATTATAGTTAGTAAAACAAATATATATATCATAAAATTTCTTTTAAAATAAAGATAATTCTTAGAGGTTGAAAACTTTAAAGTATTTAGTAGAGGCTGTAGTCTCTAAAAAGTCTTCTCTTTAGCTGTTAGATTGTATATTCTTGTTCTTGTGTTTCATATTTTTGTATTGAGCTGTTAAATTCATTACTTTTTGTCCTTGAGATTTTTCGAATATTGTAATTTCATATTGAGTAAGAGAAAGAACCTTAATTAGTAATCAAGTCTCTTATATATTTAAAATATTACTAATTAAATCAGTGATCTATATATATATAATTCTATTCAGCAATTTCAGTATTCATTAGTGCTAAAATAAATCTCGTGGTTTTATGACTTATCCTAATTGGCTATATTCGATTACAAGACCTAAATGTAGTATCTACGAAAAGAAGAAAGAAATTAAAGCATTAATAAAGTACAAAAAGAATATCAAATCATTTTAACAAAGAGTAATAAAACATTTATCTAAATTAAAAATATCTTCTCAAGCCTTTTTAATCTTGATTAATTATACTAAGTCTTTTATCAAAGTCTTACTATTATTAGGGTTTGGTTTGAGTAATATAGAAGCTTAGTATAGAATTGTGTATTAGTGTAGAGCTTAGAGTTAGAAACATTAGGTTGTTGGTATGTTACAATAGCATATCTATAGTCTGTATTATTATAATATTATGTTTATAAATTTTTTTAGCTGTTTATTTATATCTATACTTATGAATATCTATAATATTTATACATCTTATTGCTTAATATATATTATTAAATATATATAATTATATGTAAAATTTAATAATAAACATTTTTATTTAATATCAAGTTATTATAATAAACTTTTGATTTATATATTAGATATATTGTATTCTTGATATCTATATGTATAACAATTATAGCTATATTAAAACAATAAGTTTTATTTTAACTAGACTTATAAAAAAATTTTTTAGTCAATTAAATTAATACAATCTATTCATATAATATTGAAGTTACTTAATTGGCTTATAGCATGCCATGGTATGCCATAGTACCAAATTAGAATTTGGTATACTAGATAGTATGCCAAGTTTTTTTTACCATGCCTCAAACCTTACTAATAGTATATAACTAGGTAGGCTCATTTAATTTTGTTCAAAAGTGTTATTTTAACAGCTAATATAGTTTTGTAATCAAGATGACAAAATTTACAAGAAATATGAATAATATTTAATAGCTTGCATAAAGCATATAAATAGTAAATAAAATTTATTAGAGTTGGTTTTTGTATTTTTTTTCCATTACTTTTAGTGTTACTTCAATGTTTAATATAGGGTTGAAATTTGTAATTAACATAATAGTTATAAGAGATTCAAAGGATACTTTAGTGAAAGATAATTTCAAACAGAAAGATAACTTTGTATAAGCATAGCATAAGTATAGTCAAATATAAAAAAAGTGATTAAATGATAGTTAAAATTTGCTAAGTTGGCTTAAAATATTATTTCAACTATATAATTTTGAAATTATAATTAAGATAACATAGTAGCTATAAGAGAGATCGAATAATAATCTGTAAAAGATCTTGTATAAATATAGTGATAGTGTAAGAATTGTTAAGTATAAAAAAAAGGCACTTGAATAGTAATTGAAATTTGCTAAGATTGCTAAAGATAATAATTTTTACAAATAAAAATTTATAATTATAGGTTTTCTAAAATTAATTTTATAGATCAAACTCTGAAAAATATAGTATGTTTAATCTAACTTTATTAGAAGTTTTCTGAAAATAGGATTATATAGAATTAAATCTGCTAACTGTTAATAAAGTGAAAGGTCAATGTATTCTAAAAATTATTCAATCATCGATAATATGCTTAGTCACTTTTTATATAAGCAATTACATTTTTAATTGTATTACATTGGCCAATCAAAATGACTTTTCATTATGCTATTGCAAACAGTATTGATAGCTTTAAAGAATGTTTTTAAACACTATGCAAGATAATTCAAAAACTGAAAAACTTAGAAAATATAAAATATTATTTTTATTTATTGGGTTATATTAAATTATACTTAGAATAAAATAACTAGAAGCATTTTTGTTTAAAACCACCTTATTATATTAGATTTGAATAAAATTTTATTACTAACTATTTAGTTTAAATAGGAATAAGCTTAAATAAAATAAGGTTCAGATTTAACACCTGACTACATTCTGTTTTGCAGTACATTGGAGTTTATTAATTATTTGTTAATAGGTTTTGGTTTATAGATTATAAATTGTTTAGTAAGTTTGAGTTTATTAATAATAAATATCATTTTTATTTTGCTTTACATATATCTATCTATTCTTTATATATATGTAATTAATTAATTATTTGGTATATGAATTTATAAGCTTGAAGTTTTTTTATTTCTTAAGATATCATATATAACAATTAAATAAATTTCTTTCTATGAATGTCATTTATATCATTATAAGATGATATTCTGGAGTATTATTTTAGACAAACAATTTCCAAATAGCTAAGAAATAATTTGATTTTTTAAAAACACTTATTAAAATTAATCTTTAGCTCTGTGGAAATTGCATATCTTGAAATAGTGTCTCAAGGCATTTATAACAATATAATACTATTTTAATTATATTTAAATTCAAAAATTCGAATCCACATGATAGACAAAATGTGTCAAAATACTGTAATAGCAGATAGGCAAACTATAAAAATTTATATAAATAAACCATAGAATAAGTACAAGTATATAACTTATATAGATATTGAATAAATTGTTATTTGTAATCCAAAATTTATGCCAAATCATATATATGATTAAATCAAAATTTATTTCTGATTTATACAATCACCTGCATGCAATTATTACAATTATATATTTTTTTCTGTTTGATTTCAACAAACTTTAGACCTTGATTTGATAATTCCAATATGCCTACTAGTCCAATCATAAATTCTAAATTCATCATGATGAAATCATTCCAAATCTATTTATAATAAAATTTATACCTCTAATCTAAGTATATCTGAATTTAGTTAAATAGTTCTATGTTCTGTATTAAAATATTGTAAAGAACTATTTGTATTTCATAAAATTAAGTTAAGCCAATTTTACAAAGTTGCAGAACTGTTAAATAATAATTGCTTCTTGAAAATTAACAAATTTTAATTGCTGTTAAGCTTGCAGATTCTGTGACATTTAATATCTTAAATAAAATAAAAACACATTTTAGGCATAGGCTAAATTCAACAATCTAGCACTCTGCTATAGAACTCTGCTATTATTGCAGTAAGCTAATAAGTAAATGCATATATATATATATATACATAACATATGCATTAATATTGTTTGCAGTCTTAATATTGGTCTCAAGTAAATTTCAAATTTGAATTATCTTATTGTCATAAAATAATGAAAATAAGAAAATTAAATACCTCAAAAATTATATATAGCTTTAAAATAACATATATTCTATAATAAAACTTAATAAAATACTTTAGAAATAGGTTTTTTTATACTTAAAAATTTGTATTTGTTTCAAAATAACACCTATGTGCATGCTTTAAATAATGCATATATACTCAAAATAATGCACAGATGAGCATTATTTTACAACAATACAGTACATGTACAATTGTCATTCTTTCAGTAATATAGATAACAAATCTATTACCATAGTAATTAAGATAATATAAATACTCGATGAATAATTCATTTGGTGATGAATATATTGTGCAAGGCTGTTTTACTTAGTGACTATTGGTAATTAGAATGAGAAAATGTAGTCTTGGCAATTTACATGACAGCATCTACATTTAACCTATCATTATATACAGTTATTTGAAAAATAACAACATATATGAAATCCTAATATTGAAATTTTACTTTTGCTTTACAGTTCAATTTAAACAATAAAACTTTATTTATTTATTATTTGCTGAAAATAAAATAAAAAATAGATAAATAAATAAAAATAAATAAAATAGAATGCAATATAATTTTAATAAAATAACAAATGATATATATATATAAGCAAAGAGTATTAAAACAATTTGAGCTCCTTATCTTTCTTTTATCTGCAATAAAATAAATCTTAGTAAAAGAAATTTTAGCAACTAAATGTCAACATATGATTCTGATCAGTTCAATTCTTATAATAACAAGATTGCAGCTTGGTCTAATAAAAATGAATTTCAGTTAAATGAATCAAACACATTAGACATATCAGAAAATTTAGAAAATTTGCATAACTCAGATGCTGAATCAAACTCAAACTCACTCAATCAATTTATATTACATAATACTGGCATTTCTATTACTAACAGTTTAAATAAAAAAATTTGAAAAAGAAAAGTTTCTTATACTAAAAAATTGAAACCAAAAAAAAGTTAGGTGTGAAATTATTTTAAGCGTAATAAGATTGAAAAAAAAGTATATTGTTAAATTAAAGTTATGAATAAAGATAGTAATAAAGAACCCTGTAATCATAAATATGAAATAACAACTAGGACAGGAAATTTAAAAGCTCATCTTTGCCAAGGTCATAGAATTTTGCTTCTAAAAATAATAATAATAATTTATTAAACAAAATAGTTTCAAACCAAACATTATTACATGATTTCATAAATAAAAGAATTCCACTACTACTTTTAAAACAAGATAAAATCGCAAGTCATGTTCTAGTTTGGATTGTAGATAATCTTTAATCATTTAATGCTATTACTAGTAACTGTTTTTAAAATATGATTCTTGAGTATGAGCCAAGATTTGAGTTTTCATGCTATAATAAACTAAAAAAGAAGTTAATGCAATCAGTACTATTTGCTAAATGACACCTTAAGAATTTAATGCAAACAACAATAGATTCTTTTAGTTTTACAATAGATCTGTAGTTTCAAGTACATCAACCTTATATTGGCATAACTATTTATTGGATTAGTTTTGAATTTTCCTTATACTAAGCTCTTTTTACAATTTAAAAGTTTGATTATCCTCATACTGATGACCAAATTGAAAACTTTTGCTAACAATTTTTTGACCAATAAGGAATATACAGAAAACTTTTTGAAGCTTTGACCAATAATGCCTTTTCAATAGTTAAAGCAATGAATCAACTTGACATTGAACATATAGGTAGGGTTGCTACAAAAATAAGATTCCTATATGTTATTTTAAGTATAAATAGAAATCAGTTTAGTCGACTAATTAGTAAACAAAACTGATTTCAATTATTAATCAAATTTCATGTAATTTTAATTGTATTGGTATTATGAAAGTCTAGCCAAGTATCTCATAATAAAAATTACATAAAATTTTACTGTGGTTCTCATAACCTGATTAGGATACCTTATTTAAAAAACTTACTATTCAGATAGGTTATTTTAAAGCTAAAAATATAAAAATATGATCTCAAGATTTTTAAAAAAAATATATATATGCATATATATATATATAAATTGAGTATACATATATATAAATTATGAGAACTAATTCATAAATTTCATAAAGAAACTTAGATAATATAATATTATTATAATTTTACAACTTTACATATAGGTTGTATAGCATATAGAATTCAACTTGCATTAAGAGATAGATTTGATATTATAGAAGTTAATAATTTGATTAATAAAGTAAGAACATTAAATAGTTACATAAGTGGTAAAGATAAATATTATGAACAACTTTGTAGATTACAAGCCGAATTAGATCTATAACATTTAATTAATCTTCTTTCAAGTGATACTAGAACTCATTGAAGTTCTACTTATAATCTTTTAAAAAATCTTCTGTTTCTTCGCAATATTATCATGTGCTTAGCTGATAATTTACAACAAAGTATTAATCAACAAGAAAGTCAAGATAAAATGAAAATTTTGAAACTTATATTGTCTGTAAATGAGTGGAATTCATTAAATAAGTTGGCACAGCTTTTACTCTCTTTTGCACAAACAACTGAATATATTGAAGAAAGTCAATACCCAACCTTAGGAATGATGATACCTACTATTATTAAAGTTTCACATCATCTATATAATTTTTATCCAAGAATTACATCTGTGATAGTAAAAGCTTGTTGCATTAAAATTAATGAATCGATATTGTCAAGATGGTCTAAACCTTTACCTAATAGTTTAGTGACTTCTTTTTTAGATATGAGGCTTAAAAAAATAAATTTTATAACATCTAGTAAAAAAATAGAAACTATTATTTACCTTTGTATTTCATTTAGTATTCAAAAACAATTAACCTCTATCTGAGAAACCCAATCTTCAAGTACTAATATTTCTTCTTTTTTTTTTTTCTTCTATAATAATAATCATAATATTTTAAGTAAAAATAAAGGCTTACTCTTGATTAAGAAAGAAATAGATCTTTATGATAATCTACTTCAAATTCCTAAATATCATATAACAGATGAAAAATATTATAAAGTTAATCCATTAATATGATGGAATAAACACAAAGCAATGTTTTCTTCTCTGTCTTAACAAGTAAGGAAATACTTAGCTTTTTCTGCCACTTTAGTTTCTTCAGAAAGGCTTTTTTTGAATGCAGGTAATATGATTACTAACAAGAGAAATTAGTTAGATTCTAATATGATTCATAATATATTGTTTCTTAAAGAAAATTCAAAAATCTATAACATATATCCAAGTTTAGTTTAAATTGAAAAATAACTTAGAACATAATCTTTGAATACTTCATAATAATTAACTCAGACAAAAAAAAAAAACTTGTTTGAATTTCTTAGGCAGAATATGCAATGAATCTGATATAAAATTATTTGTACATATATGAGTGATAAACATAAATGTATTAAAAAGAACTTTAAATACATATATTTTTTGTACATATATACATATACAAACTATAAATCATTTTATTTGAATATAAAAAATGTATGTACTTAAAAATTTTTTTAATAATATTTTTTGTACTTTTGAAATCAACTAAAGATGCTCTTTATAGTTTGAGGTTTCTAAAATGTAGTGGGCTCTCTAAGATTAGATTGTTTCAAATATATTCAAGATTTGCAGCTAATTCTTTTGTTATTAGTAATATTAATTTAATCAAAGAATGGTCATTAAATGATTATCTATATACTTGATTTGTTACATGGATTAGAGTGTTCAGGTTTTTTCATACTATTAGCTAGATGACTTTTGACACACCTATTTACCAATCACAATCTATACATGTGATTATTTTGCCTTTTTGTTTAATTATATAATGTGAAAAATAATTAATTATGCTATACTTTAGCACAATCAACAAAAATTCTTGGGCATGTGAGAGGCTATAAAAGAGATTTGTTACTTCAATATTGATATTAACATTGATCTAATATCAAAAAACATGAATTGATATTTTTTTTACTTCTTACAAATTGATATTTCTTGTTTTTATTTTTTTGCAATTAATATCTTACCTTTTTTGCAAATTGATTTTTATTTTGTACAAATTGATATTTCTTGTTTTTTTTTTCCTTATAAAAAACTTAATGGCTTATAAGAATTATATACAAACTTTGCTTATTATTTGTTAATGTAGCATCTGTCTCTATTGGGCCTTACAAAGCATGAAGTTACTTATCTGAGAGGCATTGCCGAAATATTCACAGAGTAGTTTAGACTATAAAATACAGTACCAACTTACCAACTTTTTTTTTTAATTTTAAAAACAATAAATTAATAAAATGAATCAAAGACAACTAAAATTGGCAAAAAAATTATTTAATAGTTTGTCATAAAGAATTGATCAATACACTCAAGTAGGATCTATTATTTATAATTAAATAAATTTGTTTTTTTTTTGTATTTAATTTATATACTGATGTATAGTAATTATTAATGCAAACTAAACCATATAAAACAGTATTGACATTATTACCTAATTTAAATTTGAAGATCAATTATTGTCATAATTCCAAACCTAAATAAAAACCTAAAAGCAATGCTCCTTTCTGATTGCATATCTCTAATCTTAATAATCAATAAACTCTACCAAACAAACATGATACAGATAATGGTATAAGAGAATTATTTTCACAATTGTGAAAATATATGAATTAAAAATGATACTTTGCAAATAGATACTATTACAATAGGTATTTTCATATCTGTTTTAAACCAATAAACCAATTATTTAACCAAATTAACCAGGTCAAGACAATTAAAATAATTAGGAATATAACTTCTATCAACTGATTATATTCCCTTGTTTTGGAACTACCCTAAAATTTTATAGTCCAAATTATTTGTAAAACAATTACAAGTTCTAATATAATCAAATAATAAATTTGAACTATGTTAGAAAAATGTTTTGTCTTATAACTTGTCCTAAACTGGTTAAATAACTAAGGTTCAAAATTTTAAATAAAAAAATTAACAACACTGATAAGTTCAGGTTATAACACTATTACTATACAATTGTTAAAACTAGTAAGACTTTTAAGATTCTATTAAACCCAAACTATCAGGTTTGGCTTGCATTAATAATAGTATTGTTAGTCAATCAACTAACAGTTAACTAACTAAGTTATTAGCTAAGTTATTGACTTAGTTGACTAAGTTATTAAGAGGCTAATTTAGGATATTATTACTTTATAGTTAGAGTGAGAATTTATTACTTATATTATAGATAATAAACTCACATATATTTTTTATAAACAATAGGCAAATTACTCAATAAAAATTTTTTAAGAGATAATAACTAAGCTTTGACTAATAATTTTTAGTTTTGTCAGCTAAGTTGACCAAGTCAACTAAGTCAATCAGAGGTTGGCTAAGCTGACTAAGTCACTAGCTGCATATTGGCTTACAACACTAATCGATAGTAGTAATTATATAAAAGCAAATGTTTTTATTTAAGTTTTAAAAAATTTTCTTTATATTTTAAGTTTTTTTCATTTTTTTTGCTAATAAGAAATACAAAGTACTTTATACATCATCTGGTTTATGTCTGTTTTGCGTAATACTATAGTATTTCCATAGATGAGATACTAATTTTAAAGTTGATTCTCTTACAAGTTTTAATTGTATATTACATTTTATACTAGAATTGTTTAATACATTACAAATACTATATATAACTTGATTAGATTTGTCTTTAACTACTTTTTCTAATTCAAAATATTTCTATATCCAGCTTTATTTTTTTGACCCATTATTATGACTTAATCTTTCAGATGTTTTATTTCTACTGTTTAGATTATCAGGTTGGTTAGAAGATGATTTATCGAATAACTGGACTGGTAAAGATAGTAAATTGTTTTCATCTATAATTTATAGAATTTAGAGGTTGGTCTTGCTAAAAAAAAAACAATAAAGCACAAGAGCAAATATATATATTGAATATTTATTTAATTAATCACTTAAAGATTTATAATATAATTAGGTTAAGCAAATAATAGCTAAAATACAACACAAATAACGATTACTATCACACTACAAAAGGCTCTTTATATTTGTTTTTTGCCATTATCACTGTCTTATTTTTATGAGACCAGTACATTAGGCATATCAATAAGATGTCAAAAAATACTATTTGAATGCCTTTTTTTAAAAAATATACACCAACTCCTAATTTGCAATGAATAAACTTTATCTTAAATTTCAAAATAATATATACAATAAAATAATTTGAAATTAGATATGTGTAAATACAGACTTTTTTGGCTTTGCATTCTGTATCTTAACAGAGAATCTTTAATTTCTTACAAGGTAATTTACTCTAACTTTAAATTGGAGTATAACTTAGTTTTTCTAGAACAGAGATGAAAATGCCTATTGTAATAGTGGCCATTTGCAAAGTATCATTTTTAATTCACATCACATTAGATTTAATTGGTCATATATATAATATTGTACATCTTATTGTTTTAAAATATGATTATTGTTTAGTAATTAGTAATTTAAATAAATACTAATTTTGAAGTATCAAAAAAGATACTTCAAACAATAGATAATAGTGCAGTAAATAGTCACTATTTCAATAGGCATTTTTAACTCTGATTAGTATACAGATGAATCAAGTTTTTAATACTAGTCTTTACTAGTATAACAATTTTGCACTATTAGACTTTGGAACAATGACAATTTTAAGATATTTCTTATTATAGTAAAACCTGGTCATATGTATTATTATAAAATTAAAAATTATAAAATCAAAAGGTTCTAGCTAATATTATTAAATTGGTAGTTTATTAATAATTGTTGCATCCTTTTGTTATATTATTTATTACCCAACATGATAAATAACTATCTGATTTAACAATACTGATTTCAGAAGCATTTTTGTAACATTATAATCAAAAAAAAAAGTAAAATAAGAACAATAGCAAATGTTATTCATAGTCAAATAGTCAGATTATTTGATAAAGAATTGTATGTAATTATTTTATTATAGATCATTTGAAAACTAAGTTATATATTTTGAAATTATCAAAAGTATTATTTAAAAATTTTTTATAAAAATCTGAATTTACTATAAAATAATAGTAACTTTCGATATACTTTTAAACTAATATAATAATTGCTAGTTAATTTTTTGTAAGAGACTACCTATAATAATATAATAACAGTATTTTTTTGATTTATTCTGTTTACAAGTAGTTACAATATAGTTCTAAAATTAAACACTTTCGAAATTAAGCACTGCCACCATTTATCAATAATAGATCAATTTTAAATATGTATATTGTTTAAGAAATAAATAAATATAAACATATATATGTTGAATCTGAAGTTATAACCTATTTGTAGTAATAACTTCAGATATCTGAAATAGCATTAGATAAATCTATTACTTAATGCATATATAAATTTCTAAAGGCTTAATTTCACTATTGCTATTTTCAGTTATCTGATATCTCTATATAGAGATAAAATGTTATATAATATTCTATTATAATTGGACATACTAATACATACAGGCAAAATTGGTGATGAAGCTGTGAATGAAGCCAATGGATCTCTAAATAGAGCCAATGAATACTAGTTTTTTTTTTGCATAACTATTGAGCTTTGTTGGCTTTATTGCAAACCTAGCAAACAGGATCACAAATACATGATTTGTGTATAATTTTATATATCTAACCATCATCTAATTATAATCAAGATGTTGTACACTAGCTATTTTAGTTTGATAATTATACACTTTGTAATTTCATTACTTCATTCTTGATATAAACTCGGTAGCATTTTATAAAGCTAAAGTCTTATATGTTAGTGTATTAATTCTAAAGTTAATAAAAAAA